ATAGGGAAAATATGGTATATATAAACTTGGGTTCATTGTTCCATGTCAGGGACGTGATTATTAAAAGCGGTGTTATTTCTATTTTGGCGAGCGAGCGTAGCGAGCGAGCAAAAAAAATCACTTCTCTTTTATAGGGAAAATATGGTATATATAAACTTGGGTTCATTGTTCCATGTCAGGGACGTGATTATTAAAAGTGGTGTTATTTCTATTTTGGCGAGCGAGCGTAGCGAGCGAGCAAAAAAAATCACTTCTCTTTTATAGGGAAAATATGGTATATATAAACTTGGGTTCATTGTTCCATGTCAGGGACGTGATTATTAAAAGTGGTGTTATTTCTATTTTGGCGAGCGAGCGTAGCGAGCGAGCAAAAAAAATCACTTCTCTTTTATAGGGAAAATATGGTATATATAAACTTGGGTTCATTGTTCCATGTCAGGGACGTGATTATTAAAAGCAGTGTTATTTCTATTTTGGTGAGCGAGCGTAGCGAGCGAGCAAAATTTTTGTAATGATAATTGGTTCATAAATTTCAGATTTTTTTGTTGCAGGGCAGGGCTTACACAATTATGTCTAAGGTGATGTTAATTCCGTTTTGGCGAGCACGAGCACACCAAAACTTCTTTGAATAACGTTTGGTACATAATTATTAACTGGTTGTTGCAGGTTGGGGCGGGATTATTCTAGGCAATACTAATCCTTTTCTTTTTTCAGGGGGACGAGCAGGTGAAAACATTTAATACAAAATAGGCTAGCAAGCAGTTCGCGCCAGCGAAGAGTTTCGAATTTGTTATATCACTTATATTTTCCTATTTTCATATGTTTTAATTTTTCAGGGCCGTATGCGGAATATTTTTCAGGTGGGGGAGGGGGAAAGATGCGTTAAAAGTTTTTGAAGAATCTCAAAAGCAAAAGGAGTGAAGGGAGTTCGAGCGACCGAACTGGTCATGAGGGTACTTTTGCATTTTCAAAAGTAGAATTGAAGGATTTGGTAATTAAAGGCGTACACTACATTTTCAGGGAAAAAAACTGTACGTTTTCAAAATATCTGGGGTCAACTGCCCCCCCCCCTTGGTGCGTACGGCCATGGTCTTTAAAAAAAAAAAATTTCCCCATTTTTATTCCTTTCCTTTTCTTTTCCCTTTTTCTTCCTTTTCTCTTCTTCTTCCTTTTTTCTTTCCTTTTTTTCCTTTTTTCTCTTTCTTTCCTTTTTTCTTCCCTTTTCCCTTTTTTTTCTTCTTTCCTTTCCTTTCTTTTCTTTTCTTTCCCCTTTTTCTTTTTTCCCCTGGAGCCCGTCAGGGGGGGCACTCTGCCCCCCCTGCCCCCCCCCCCATAGGTACGCCAGTGCCGCCACCGCCAGTGGCATCCCTGTCATTTCTTTCAATTTTATAACCATCGATAGAAATCATATGATTTGAAAAATCCTCAGTATAGCATACATAGTAGCATACATAGCCGTCGGAGAGATTGTATACAGGTCTGCATGTATAATAAAACCTAAGATCATCCCAATTTATAATGCGAATGAAATCGTTTACATAGGAAATCATGGTAGCCTAGCTATTAATTCAATTTCACGCTGTTAACTATAATGATGTGCAATCTCAGCTTATAGGCGAGAATCACATTGATTTCATAGATCGTGAGTTGAAAGCCGCTGTACGTATCAATGTGAATAAAAACCTGTCTAGCTCTCACTCACCAAAGGGTTATGACAAGGCAATATGAATAAATTATCAGTCATGTCATTAATAGGCCTGCATTGAGATATGATAATGAACATGATGATGGTAAATGAGAAGGACTATCATGTTCATAATAGAAACGCAAATCGTTCATCCATATTCGTGCAATATAATTTGACTACAGTGGAACTAAGAAGCCTCATGAAAATGGCACAAAATAATGAGAACTTTTTTTTCTTTTTTCATTCAGAGTGTTCTGACTTTCAGATCATTTGGTTTCGAAAAGGAGCATGGGGTTGAAATGGGTTCCCATTCTGAATAGTGGCGCTATGAAAACACATCTCCAATCTGTTAAATAATACGAAGGTGCTCGGGTGAGTAATCTAATACCTATGTATGGCCTCAACCGCCTCAACCCTTAAATTGACTTGGGTTGGAAAGACGACCTGACTGTGATAGAGGCATACTACGAGCTTGGGTACTGGGCAGGGGCGGCGATTTCTTTTCATGACCGGGGGGGACGATACGCGAGAAACGAGGGGGGAGTGACGTCATGGGGGGGGGGGGGGGAGAAAAAAATCCGAATCAATACCGCTCTTACATGTTATAGCAGGCCCCGCGGAACGTTTTTCGAAGTGGGCAGTGAGGGGGGGGGGGTGGGGGCTAAAGTATTTACGATCAGATAGGGCAAAGCAAGTGGAGCGTAAATCGGCGTGGGGTCCTGGGGCAAAGCCCCGGCGGGGGTCAGGTTTTTAGGCATTTAATAAGGGTCAGATGAGCATATTTTGATGCCATATTTGTGACACTGGCATGCAGGTAACAAATCGGAGGTGGGTCCAGGGGGGCGAAGCCCCCAGAAGCTCAGCGCTTTAAGGCATTAAATTACGATCAGATGATCATCCAGGGGCCGCCTTAGAGCCCTTGATGGGGTGTAGGGGACGGAGTCCCCGGAAGCTCAGGATTTTAGGCCTTTGAACATGGTTAGATGAGCTTCCAGTGGCCCGCTTAGGGCCCTGGTGGGGTCCAGGGGGCGGAGCCCACGGAAGCTCAGGTGTTTTAGGCATTAATTATGGTCAGCTGAGCAACCAGGGGGTCTTAGGGCCCTTGGTGGGGCTAAGAGGGCAAAGCCCCTGGAAGCTCAGAGAAAATCATGTCATTTCAGCAACATTTGCAAATTAGTCACTGGTATCGAATTAATAAACCACGTTTGAATTTTATCGGGGGTGAGGGTCAGGCGCGCCGGAAGCAGTTCGGGATTGGGGGGGCAAACATTCCAGGGGGCTCACATTCCAGGGGCAGTGACGTAATGAGAAAAAAAGTTCGGAAGGGGGGGGGGGCAGACGAAAAATCTGCATCACCACCAGTCTTACACGTTACATGCAGGTCCCGCGGAACGTTTTTCAAAGTGGAGTATTATCGATCAGGTAGAGCGTAAATTGGCGTGGGGTCCAGGGCATGAGCCTCGGCAGGGGGTCAAGGGGCTGAGCCCCCGGAAGCTCAGGGGTTTTAGGTATTTAATTACGGTCAGATGAGCATCCAGGGGCCCGCCTTAGGGCCCTTGGTGGGGTCCAGGGGGCAGAGCCCCCGGAAGCTCAGGGGTTTTAGGTATTTAATTAAGGTCAGATGAGCATCCAGGGCCGCCTCAGGCCCTTGGTGGGGTCCAGGGGGCAGAGCCCCCAGAAGCTCAGGGGTTTTAGGTATTTAATTAAGGTCAGATGAGCATCCAGGGGGCCGCCTTAGGGCCCTTGGTGGGGTCCAGGGGCAGAGCCCCCGGAAGCTCAGGGGATTTAGGTATTTAATTAAGGTCAGATGAGCATCCAGGGGTAAAGCCCCGGAAGCTCAGGGGTTTTAGGTATTTAATTACGGTCAGATGAGCATCCAGGGGCCCGCCTTAGAGCCCTTGTTGGGGTCCAGGGGGCAGAGCCCCTGGAAGCTCGGGGGTTTTAGGTATTTAAATACGGTCAGATGAGCATCCAGGGGCCCGCCTTAGGTCCCTTAGTGGGGTCCGGGGGCAGAGCCCCCGTAAGCTCTGGGGTTTTAAGCATTTAATTACGGTCAGATGAGCATTTTTTATACCTTATTTGTGACATTGGCAGGTCACTTATTTTTTTCTCCGTCTTTCTTTCTTTTTCTCTTTAACATACTTTTTCAAAAAGGAGGGGGGGGGGGGCTCGAGCCCAGCCACTTTGCAGACCATGACATAAAGGCTTCTAAATAAGCGTATTTCGCCCGACTGTAATTTGGGAATTTCTTATTTTCCAACAAACGCATAAGAAGGTATGACTTACAAAAAAAATGGAGAAAAAATGCCGGAAAATCATGTCACAACATCAACATTTGTATATCACTTGTTTCGAATAAGAAATACATCACCCCCCCCCCCCCCCCATCAGTACGCCAACGTTCAGGGGCTCATGTCTTCTCACCCCTATAACAAAAAAACGGACACGCTTTCCCATTCTCGCACAATATGTCCACGATATGCGCGTATCGCTATTATAGAGACCTCCATTGATAAATACCGTATAGGTGGCATGCGCAATGTTTATGAAATTTAATTCCTGTGAACTTTCCTTTTTCTTTGAATGGAATTGTAGATGTGATTTAATTCAGGTTTTTATTATTGTTACGTTCTTTTGGATTAAAAATACAAACCATGTTTACTCCTTTACTGTTTTTTTTTTTTTTTTTGGAGGGGGGGGGGCGTTTTGGGGGGGCAAAAATGCGTTTTGCCCCCCCACTTTTTTGACTGGGGGGGCAACTGCCCCCCCTGCCCCCCCACTTCCGGCGCCTATGGTGAGGGTGGTAATGCCCCAAGCCCGAGTGAGTGAGCATAGTGAACGAGAGGGGTGAAGGTGACGAAAGTGACTACTCCCTCGCAGGTTTTGTTGTATTACAAAATTATATTCCTTAGAAAAACTTTTGTATGAAAAGAAACAATATACTTTTTTCACACTTTACTTTCTGCAATATTTACTTGAACATTTTAAAGAATATTATGCGAGTGGGCATAGCCCGAGCCAGAAGATTTTTACATTTTTATGTCTAAACGCTTAATTTTTATGTCTAAACGCTTAATTTTTAAGTCTAAACGCTGCACTCTTGGACCCTCCAAAGCCTAATAGTGTGTTGCAGTCTTTAGTCAGTATTTGCTGTACATTATTTGTTTGCACTTTTTTTAATTTTCCGGGGGGACGATCCCCCCCTACAAAAATCGAGGGGGGGGGACGTGTCTCCCCCGTCCCCCCCGGTATCGCCGCCCCTGGTACTGGGTGCTGATCGGATGTGTGGGGTATAACACAAATATGTCTGCCATTCATATATTGCATTATTCTCTCATTGTAGGGACATGCTTTGTCTCTCACTATGCTGTAGCACAGAATAATACAGTCGGGCAAGGTAAGTGTATATTTGATTTCATATTGTGCGGTTATTCAGTGCAATGCTAAGTATAGGCGCATATGTACGTGCCTCGTTTTCGATGTATAGCTGTATCTATATGCACGACTCTGTACGTAGTATAGACGGATGTCGCATGTATAGGCCTACCATGGGAAATCTGTCACTTACACGAACGTGTATGTACTGGTATACTCTCCTCTGTGTATAGTAAGTACCCTAGTCAAGAGTAGCCGCTTATTTCAGTTAGCTCCCATTTGATTGTCGATCATAATCCACTGAAATGTAAATATTTTAAATCAAGAGACACCAAGGAATCAGGGGCGTAAATACGTACCGAGGAGTGGGGGGGGGGGTGATGATCGGCGATAGCCATCACATACTAGCACGAGCACACGCCCACACTAATTTACGCAAGCGCGCGCGATCGCGCACGCACAAACACACAAGACACCAGGCGCGTACGCAGGGGGGGGGGGGGGGGGGGGGTTGGGGTTGAACCCCCCGTTGGTGTTTTTATGTGTGTAAACCTCCCTAAACCCCCCCCTTAAAAACCCCTCCCCCTTTGGATTTTTTTGGATTTTTTAATTTTCAATTATTAAAAAAATATATAAAAAATAAAAAAAATAAAAAAAATTATGCCCATGGCTGACCTAAAAAAGGTGACCTTATCCCCCCCCCCCCCCACAAAGAAAAATGTCAAATTTTCAAATTTCGAGACCACAAAAAAAAAGAGTGTCCTCTTCCCCCCCCCCCCCCCCCCCCCCCCTCCTCCGAACTCCGAAATAAGACGACACACTTTCAAGTAGTAACATAAAGGTTGAGTATTTCGTCAGGAAGATGCGAACTCTTTATTTTGAGTCCCATCACTTAGAAAATAATGTATAATGGTCAGGGGCGTCGTTAGACCTTTTTTAGTGGGGGTGTAGAGGCCAACGATTACCGACAAAACTAGCCCCCAATTACCGACGAAATTAAATGTCCCAATATTTACAAATTTAACCCTGATATACCCGGGGCCGAAGGCTAAATTGTTTTTCCTACGGAATATCTATAGTACTTGCGTATGCGCAAATGGTCATTTTCCTCGACGACATAAATATACGAATTATTTCGTCAACTTAGTCAGCATCATAGCTATATATTTTAATGCAGGCGCGGAGCTAGGATCTCATTTTAGGGAGGGGCGGTAGTGAGCAGGCGAATCACTCAAAGAGCGCGCGAAGCGCGCTCATTAGGGGGGTGTGGGTGATAGGCCTACCGCCCGAAGCGCGGAAGCTTAGACGTTTCCTTAAATTATTAGGAAAAGAAGACGATTTATTGTACCGTTCTCGACTGTTAACCCTTGTCTGAATGAATTCCCCCCCCCCTCCCCTCACGCGCGAAGCGCGAAAGCCTTGGCGTTTCATTATATTATTATAAAAAGAAGACGATTTGCCGTACCGTTCTCAACTGTTAATCCTTGTCTGAATTCAGTTACCCCCCCCCCCCCCCCCCCCGCCCGGCCCACCCCCCCTCCCGCGCGGAAGTTTTGGCGTTTCATTAAATTATTAGAGAAAGTAGACAATTCGTTGAACCGTACTCGACTCTTAATCCTTGTATGAATTCAGTTTCTCCCTCTCTCCCGCGCGAAGCACGGAAGCTTTGACATTTTATTAAATTATTAAAGAAAGTAGACGGTTTGTTAAACCGTGCTCGACTCTTAATCTTTGTCTGAATTCGGTTTACCCCTCCCGCGCAAAGCGCGGAAGTTTTGACGTTTCATTAAATTATTAGAGAAAGCAGACGATTCGTTGTACCGTTTTCGACTCTTAATAAGCCCTATTTATCTGAATTCAATTTCCCCCTCTTGCGCGATGCGCGGAAGCCTTGACGTTTCCTTAAATTATTAGAGAAAGCAGACGATTGGGTGTACTGTTCTCGACTCTTAATTCTCGTCTGAATTCAGTTTCCCCTTCCCGCGCGAAGCGCGAAAAGCTTAGACGTTTGATTTAATTATAGAAAGAAGACGAATCGTTGCACCTTTTTCGACTCTTAATAAGCCCTATTTATCTGAATTCAGTTTCCCCCTCTCGCGCGAAGCGCGGAAGCTTTGACGTTTCCTTAAATTATGAGAGAAAGCAGACGATTCGATGTACCGTTTTCGACTCTTAATAAGCCCTATTTATCTGAATTCAGTTTCCCCCTCTCGCGCGAAGCGCGGAAGCCTTGACATTTCCTTAAATTATTAGAGAAAGCAGACGATTGGGTGTACTGTATTCGATTCTTAATCCTTGTCTGAATTCAGTTTCCCCCTTCCCGCGCGAAGTGCGAAAAGCTTAGAAGTTTGATTTAATTATTATAGAAAGAAGACGATTCGTTGCACCGTTTTCGACTCTTATTAAGCCCTATTTATCTGAATTAAATTCAATTCATTCAATATAAACAACAAATTCATTCATTCATAGACCTACACAAACATCACATGCATTACAGTCCTTAAATATCATCCCCTCGTCCCTTAAGTTTTAGGTATGAACAAATGACAACCACCGAGTAGGACTTGGGCAATGCAACAGTTACCGTATTATTTATCACTCTCAATCAAATGCGTTCACAGTTTTCACACCTCTTTAAAAAAATTTCTGGAATTCATATAATGATGCAGTACATGTACTATGCTTATTAATTAAATCTAATGAATTCTTTAATTTCCTCAGCCAAATCCTTTCTCAAATATAAAAATAATAAGAATGTGTACAGGCTTACCGTGAAATAACTGAAGAGACAAACGGCCACTGTAAGTCTTGAACACGCCAGGTGTGGAACTTCAGTCTTCATCTACCCCCCCCCCCCCCACACACACACACACACTCCGGGGTCGGAGGGACCGCATGCGCGTTCCTAAAATTTCCAGGAAAGGGGTACTTTTTCGCGCGACAAAAAAGGGGTAGGTTTTTTCTCTCTCTCTCTTTGGACTCCTGAGAAATGTAAAAAGGGGGTTATAAAATATCTTGAATAGAAAAATTGATCAAATCCCGGGATCAAATTCTTGAAATTCCTGCTAGCTTTGAAAGCTCATTCAGGATTATTTTATTTTGAAAAGTAAAAACATTGGCCCCCAGTCCCCCTCGATCGACTAGAGCTCACCTGAAATTGGGGGGGGGGGGGGAGGGGGGGGGGGAGGTGGTACATTTAGCAGTGTTCCGGATTTTTTTTTTTTTTTTTTTTTTTTTTGGGGGGGGGGGGGGGTTTCCAAGGCAGGAAAAGCCAGCGAAAAGCCGGCGAAAGGGGGTTCAGAAATGTTGGCAGTCCTGAGATAGGGGGGGGGGGGTGCTGCTTTCAAAGGGAGGGAACGAGCATACGAGAGTATCTACTGTACATGATTGCACCTTTTAAGCGCTCGCGCGCTTGCGCACTTTACGTCTGGGCTATAATAATACCTTGCAAAATAACGAAAAATTATTCTGAAGTTTATGAAGTGCTTGTTCGCGCACGTCGCGGAACTACTCTTAATGATCGTGACATACTGTATACGTGTAGGCTATAACATTATACATACATACAAAAATAACTCATTTCTCATGCATTATGCTGAAATTGAAACAATCACATTTTTTTTCTTCTTCTTCTTCTTCCTTTTTTTTCTCATTTTTTTTTGTAATGTCAGGGGGGTATTTGTACAGGCCATCCCCCTCCTTCAAGCGAGGGGGGATGCATCCCCCTGTTACGATATACTCTATTCGATATATCCGGTATCCGTCGTAGTTCAATAAACATGTTCACCATCATCACAAACCTGACTGCCGACTCGTCTATTATCATGAGTATCTACCAAATCTAAGACCCTCGAACTCATCATGGTGGCAGCTGCTGGGATCTTCGAAATCAAGTTTGATTTTTGAAGACACAATTGATCCAGTTCACGACAGTTGGGAAGTATAATTAGCAAAATTATCGTCGATTAGCGATTTGTCACGTCGCACTTTTTCGTATGCATAGTACGTGCATCGTACATACCGCACAGTGTACCGAGACACTGATGCTACTGCATAATCCCGATGAACTCGTACGTGAATGGTGATGTGTGTATGAGCATATAAAGGTTCATAAAGCCTGCTCAGAATAGCCTAATCAAGTTATAACTGTGCTCAATCACTGACACAGGGGTCTGCATAATAACTTAACTAGTAAAGTTTAAATCTAAAATTAAACTAAATCAGAGGTGTGAACATTAAACCTGTTTTCAGATAATATTAACAATAATATCTGGTGTGTGAGCCTGTGAGGAATTGTCACTGTCGGACATATTGAGTGAGAGTGATCAACATTTTCATTGCATGAGACACCTAATGACATTCACACAGGTGTGAGAGCGTACACAGGTTTACGTGTACGAACCTTATCAACACCAGCCGGTTAGGACCCGTTCACACTAAGATAAACAACACAAAGATTTACACTCATTCATATAATCTGTCGTAACCAATACGCACACGTGACATATACAATGAGTACTAAGTATCCAGAGATAAACTGGGAGGTACCAGACCTACCCGAAGAGTTCAAGCTATTTAAGCAGAGAATGGAGCTTGTGTTGGCAGATCAAGAAATAACTGAAAACAAAAAAAAGGCTATAAAAATCAAAATCGCTGTAGGCAACGAAGGTTTGCGCAGAATCAATGCGTCTGGGCTATCAGAGGCCGACCAAGAAAAACCACAAGAGCTGTGGAAATTATTTGAGAAACAAATAAAGGTAAACATTAATTTTCGGGTCCATCGTCTCGAGCTGATGCGATATCGGCAGAGACAAGATGAGAGCATTGACGCATTCGTTACTCGATGTAGAGACAAAGCCAACACATGCGATTTTGAGGAATCCGAGCTTGCCGAGCGGATAATGGAGGTAGTCATCACCTCAACACCAAGTCTAGAATTCCAGAAATTCCTATTGGACCAGCCTAAAGGATATCTAATCGAAGCAATTCTTGTAGAGGGTCGAAAATACGAGGCAGTTGCGG